GCCGGTGCCCTCAGTGCCTACAGAAAGTCGTATTCAGTTGATTGACCGGGGCCGGTGCCCTCAGTGCGTACAGAACGTCGTTGTATTCAGTTGATTGACCGGGGCCGGTGCCCTCAGTGCGTACAGAACGTCGTTGTTTTCAGTTGATTGACCGGGGCAGGTGCCCTCAGCGCGTACAGAACGTCGTTGTATTCAGTTGATTGACCGGGACCGGTGCCCTCAGCGCGTACAGAACGTCGTTGTATTCAGTTGATTGACCGGTTCTGGTACCCTCAGTGCGTACAGAACGTCGTTGTATTCAGTTGATTAACCCGGGCCGGTGCCCTCAGCGCGTACAGAACGTCGTTGTATTCAGTTGATTGACCGGGGCCGGTGCCCTCAGTGCGTACAGAACGTCGCTGTATTCAGTTGATTGACCTGCGCCGCTGCCCTCAGTGAGTACAGATCGTCGTTGTATTTAGTTGATTGACTGGGGCCGGTGCCCTCAGTGCGCATCGAAAGTTGTTGTATTCAGTTGATTGACCGGGGCCCGCGCCCTCAGCGCGTACAGAACGTCGTTGTATTCAGTTGATTGACCGGGGCCGGTGTCCTCAGTGCCTACAGAAAGTCGTTGTATTCAGTTGATTGACTGGGGCCGGTGCCCCAGTGCGTACAGATTGTCGTATTCAGTTGATTGACCGGGGCCGGTGCCCTCAGTGCCTACAGAAAGTCGTATTTAGTTGATTGACCGGGGCCGGTGCCCTCAGTGCGTACAGAACATCGTTGTATTCAGTTGATTGACCGGGGCCGGTGCCCTCAGTGCGCACAGAACGTCGTTGTTTTCAGTTGATTGACCGGGGCAGGTGCCCTCAGCGCGTACTGAACGTCGTTGTATTCAGTTGATTGACCGGGTCCGGTGCCCTCAGCGCGTACAGAACGTCGTTGTATTCAGTTGATTGACCGGTTCTGGTACCCTCAGCGCGTACAGAACGTCGTTGTATTCAGTTGATTGACCGGGGCCGGTGCCCTCAGTGCGTACAGAACGTCGTTGTATTCAGTTGATTGACCGGGGCCGGTGTCCTCAGTGCCTACAGAAAGTCGTTGTATTCAGTTGATTGACCGGGGCCGGTGCCCTCAGTGCGTACAGAACTTCGTTGTATTCAGTTGATTGACCAGGGCCCGTGCCCTCAGCGCGTACAGAACGTCGTTGTATTCAGTTGATTGACCGGGGCCGGTGCTCTCAGCGAGTACGGAACGTCGTTGTATTCAGTTGATTGAACGGGGCCGGTGCCCTCAGTGCGTACAGATTGTCGGATTCAGTTGATTGACCGGGGCCGGTGCCCTCAGTGCCTACAGAAAGTCGTTGTTTTCAGTTGATTGGCCTTGGCCGGTGCCCTAAGTGCGTACAGAACTTCGTTGTATTCAGTTGATTGACCGGGACCGGTGCCCTCAGTGCGCACAGAAAGTCGTTGTATTCAGTTGATTGACCAGGGCCCGCGCCCTCAGCGCGTACAGAACGTCGTTGTATTCAGTTGATTGACCGGGGCCGGCGTCCTCAGTGCCTACAGAAAGTCGTTGTATTCAGTTGATTGACCGGGGCCGGTGCCCTCAGTGCGTACAGAACTTCGTTGTATTCAGTTTATTAACCGGGGCCGGTGCCCTCAGTGCGTACAGAACGTCGCTGTATTCAGTTGATTGACCTGCGCCGCTGCCCTCAGTGAGTACAGATTGTCGTTGTATTTAGTTGATTGACTGGGGCCGGTGCCCTCAGTGCGCATCGAAAGTTGTTGTATTCAGTTGATTGACCGGGGCCCGCGCCCTCAGCGCGTACAGAACGTCGTTGTATTCAGTTGATTGACCGGGGCCGGTGTCCTCAGTGCCTACAGAAAGTCGTTGTATTCAGTTGATTGACCGGGGCCGGTGCCCCAGTGCGTACAGATTGTCGTATTCAGTTGATTGACCGGGGCCGGTGCCCTCAGTGCCTACAGAAAGTCGTATTCAGTTGATTGACCGGGGCCGGTGCCCTCAGTGCGTACAGAACGTCGTTGTATTCAGTTGATTGACCGGGGCCGGTGCCCTCAGTGCGTACAGAACGTCGTTGTTTTCAGTTGATTGACCGGGGCAGGTGCCCTCAGCGCGTACAGAACGTCGTTGTATTCAGTTGATTGATCGGGGCCGGTGCCCTCAGCGCGTACAGAACGTCGTTGTATTCAGTTGATTGACCGGTTCTGGTACCCTCAGTGCGTACAGAACGTCGTTGTATTCAGTTGATTAACCCGGGCCGGTGCCCTCAGCGCGTACAGAACGTCGTTGTATTCAGTTGATTGACCGGGGCCCGTGCCCTCAGTGCGTACAGAACGTCGCTGTATTCAGTTGATTGACCTGCGCCGCTGCCCTCAGTGAGTACAGATCGTCGTTGTATTTAGTTGATTGACTGGGGCCGGTGCCCTCAGTGCGCATCGAAAGTTGTTGTATTCAGTTGATTGACCGGGGCCCGCGCCCTCAGCGCGTACAGAACGTCGTTGTATTCAGTTGATTGACCGGGGCCGGTGTCCTCAGTGCCTACAGAAAGTCGTTGTATTCAGTTGATTGACCGGGGCCGGTGCCCCAGTGCGTACAGATTGTCGTATTCAGTTGATTGACCGGGGCCGGTGCCCTCAGTGCCTACAGAAAGTCGTATTCAGTTGATTGACCGGGGCCGGTGCCCTCAGTGCGTACAGAACGTCGTTGTATTCAGTTGATTGACCGGGGCCGGTGCCCTCAGTGCGTACAGAACGTCGTTGTTTTCAGTTGATTGACCGGGGCAGGTGCCCTCAGCGCGTACAGAACGTCGTTGTATTCAGTTGATTGACCGGGGCCGGTGCCCTCAGCGCGTACAGAACGTCGTTGTATTCAGTTGATTGACCGGTTCTGGTACCCTCAGCGCGTACAGAACGTCGTTGTATTCAGTTGATTGACCGGGGCCGGAGCCCTCAGTGCGTACAGAACATCGTTGTATTCAGTTGATTACCCGGGGCCGGTGCCCTCAGTGCGTACAGAACATCATTGTATTCAGTTGATTAACCGGGGCCGGTGCCCTCAGCGCGTACAGAACATCGTTGCATGCTGTACATATGTGATGTTGATCCGATGTGACCAGCGCGCTACAATTATGTGTGTAGTGTTCACCCACGGCTGCATGGCCAGCTTCCTGGGGCCGCTAGCCGTGCGATCGGATTTCCATGTCCATGACAGTACTTGACAAGTATCCCCCCCCCCCTCCCCCTCCCCCTACCCCCCCCCCCCCCGCCCTACACACACAATTCTTGCCAACACCCCCCCCCCCTCCTGGACCCCCACATGCATCAATTCCCAACACTCCCGCTCCCACCCCCCTCCCCCCCCCCCCCCCCACCAGACACATTACATGTACAGTCGAATGTCACTTATCCGGTCGCCAGTTACAAGCCCGGGAGTGGTAATTTTATGACTCTCAACAGTAAAATTCTAAAAAATAAAATTTTGTGTGTGTAAATTATATGGTGTGGTATGCATTTACTTGAAGTAGATGTGGTCAAGTATGCTAACATGTATGTGCACATGGAGCAATTCATGAATATGCATGAATATATTTGGGTATTGTGTACATAAATCAGTGAAATCCAGCCATATATGCACATTAAAAATGATATCAGTTATCCAACATGCCTAATTCCCGGTGTGGTCGGATAAGTGACATTCGACTGTACTTGTCAATTTCCCCCACCTCTCCCCCCCCCCCCCCCCCTCCTCCTTACACACACACACACCCACACACACACACACACAACTATTTCCAATACAACCACCATCCCCTTCCACCACCATCTAATATTATAAGTCTACAAATTTTCGATGCGTATAAATATCGGCCTCCCAGGGCTAAAATACATTTTTGACACATTAAAATTTCAGCCTATACTGCTACTGCCTGTCTACACTGTCACACTGAACCTTGCAAAACTAAAAATCGGCTGCAAATTTAACACCAAAAATTCCCAGGCCGAAAATAGGTTAAATACTTCCTCCGCGTCATTGAAATTGTCGCAGCGACAACTCAATAAGCTAAACCATACAAATATTATTACACAGTATGATAGTCTGAAGGCAAGAGTAACGTTCCAGAACAGTTGGACTGAGAGTTTCACGTGGAGATGAAGGCCTCGTCGTCGCTGATGTCAATGGCCGCAAAAATATCGTTCCGAAAAATTTCCAGGAAGGTTGTAAGTTGGTCGCCCCTCATCTCAAACGTTTTGACTTTCTCCACAGGACAAGAGCTGCTATGCTTGTCATCTACTAGCTCTTGATGATTTCTACTTCACCGCCAACGAATTGAGAATACACGATCGTTGCGAGGTCGGTTGATTACCGTCGGCGGAATCACCTCGATGTTGAAACGAACGTTTTTTATCAGTGGCATACTGTCTTTTTCAGCATCACTGCATACGACACCTGCGCGCGCATCACCAGCACTACACGTAGAGTCTACACGGCTCTTGCAGGTACAATCATGTACTGAGTGTCTCAGCCAGAGCGACACATTTTATCGCTTTTGCATGCATTTAGTTTGCTGACCCCTCAATGTTTCTCCAAGCGCTGCCGCTTGTTCCACGAAGTAATTCTCACCCCAGCTGAGGTAAGACAGTGATGAGGCTTTGAGTGAATGGCTATAAGCACTAGAAATGTGCAGGCTGCAACGCCTGACTGATTTCAGCGAGTCGAATGTACCATCGCAGCGACATCAGCGAAGAAATTGTGTCTAGTTCAAAAATTTGAGCTTCCAATAACAGATAATAGAACTTTGCCGTCACCCTATACTGATGACTATCGCCTATGTCCGATTTCTTACCTGTGGTATGACTGCTGGTGAGTAAATACCCCGTTTTATAATTATCAAAAATTAAACTGCGACAATTTTGATGACGCGGAGGAAGTATAAGTGTTGATTTACAGTATAGCGGCATGCACATTTCCTCACCAAATCAGTGTTGTTCTTAGCTTACCCGTGGTCGAGGTGTCTTCACATCGCAGCCAAACGGACAACAGGAGTATCCATACTGACATTCTTCCTCGTGTTTCTGCAGTAAATCAATATCATGATTCACACACACTAGCTGAACTTATCCCTGTCCATAAAGTCATCAAATCCCGAACGGGCTGACATCCATTACATGTAAGGTGGAACAAAATTGTATTGTAACTCTGAGTTTCACGCTTGCACGATCATCAGGTAACAAACACCTATTATCTAACACGGAATGGGGTTTTGAATGAATGCCTGATGATCGCACAAACAAGAAAGGAACTGGGAATTTGAATAAAATGTTCTGCCACCATGTTTGTCATTCTCCACACATACATGTACATATACATATAGCTGTAGACACATCTTTACTCAGATATTTACTCAATACATAACTAGCATAATCACCAGTCTAAAGCTATACACCATCAATCATCATCACTTGTACCTACTAACACTGAAAAGCAGCTTACCACATAATCTCTGAGGCTACCACTCCATTCACATGGCCCCGAATCACACTTGACCGTTTGCTTTTCCAGCTCATTTGCCAAGTCTTTCTCATCCACCAGCTGAGAAAACAAAAACAGGAAATGAGTGAGGTAAGCATTAGGACAGCAAGTCATGTGATTAATACCATCAAGAGTCTATAACCCCCCAGAGTGTGCAACTCGTGATCCTTCTCAGCACAAATCAGTGCCGCAACGAAATCCAAACTTCATACGTCATGTAGTGAGTAGCTATGATGAAATGGGAAGTTTGGCCCGGACCTACTTCGCCCGTTTGCCCAATTTGGGGTCTTTCTTTACGAATCCACGGTCAGGTATTGTACGTAACACGCCTGGAAAGGCTCAAGTACACAAAGAATTATTTTTAATAGAGTTGTCGAACAGTTTTCTCTTTTGAGTGTCTCTCCGATAAGAGAAGAACAATGGCCACTGTTGAACCTAAAGCAAAGCGCTCCCCATTGTCGCCGGAGTGCAGTGTCTCTGTGAACGATATTCGTCAGTTTTTGCTCGATCTGGGCTCCTCATTTTCTTCTCTCGATTGTCGAGTGTTGGAAATTGTACCAAAATGGGACTGAGGAGCAGGTTGAAGCACATCTACTTCGAAATCGATCGGGTCTTCATGCCGTGTGCCAAGAGCTATTTCCATCAAATCTATTTCCATCAAATCTTGTAAATCTATATCCATGCCTATTCTTGCTATCCCGGAGTCACGAACTCTCCCAATACAAGCTTTTCAGACAACGAGCAGAGAAACTCTCTTCAAATAAAAAATTCTGTGACTGTGAAATCAAAGCCGTTCTGCTGACACTGCATTGCCCGTGGAGCAAACGTTTTACGTGACACTTCCGTGGCTTGCTTCAAAGCAACCTTCAGTTCAAGTTACCGTAAAGTCGCGGATAAAAGCCAGGTTTGCATACAAGCACATCGCGGATAGAAGCCTGAAAATCAAACGGGTCAAATGCATATAAGCCTGTCGCGCGTAGAAGCCTGGCTTCTATGCAAGCGCGGATCGGGTAGGTCAAGACTGCATGCGCTATGTACAGTGCATAGTAAAACTGCCACCATACCGGTAGTCAGTGGTAGATCTATGCATGCCGCGCGTGGAAGCCTGGCTTCTACGCAAGTGTGGTGCATATAAGCATGGTTTGCATACAAGCCTGATTTGCATTAAAGCCTGATGCAGAAAGCGGCTTATGTGCTTATAAGCGATTATCCGCGACTTTACGGTAGTTACTTGGAACCCCCGCCGGATGTACCAGATATGCACATGGCCCAATCCGCCCATGCTTGCCCGGGGACCGGATGACGCAATGTTTGGATTTCGTTGCGCCAGACCCCAACCTGGAGTTGCACACTCTGGGGGGGGGGGGGGGGGGTTATGGACTCTTGATACCATGTAGACATCCAATCAAAGCGATGGAGAGTGAGAGTGCAGTATCTGTGGTTAGTTGAATCAGGTCCATTGCTCTAACCATGGCTATCTGTCTGAATACAGTATCTATGGTTGGTTGAATCAGGTCCATTGCTCTAACCATGGCTATCTGTCTGAATACAGTATCTATGGTTAGTTGAATCAGGTCCACTGCTCTAACCATGGCTATCTGTCTGAACACAATATCTGTGGTTAGTTGAATCAGGTCCACTGCTCTAACCATGGCTATCTGTCTGAACACAATATCTGTGGTTAGTTGAATCAGGTCCACTGCTCTAACCATGGCTATCTGTCTGAATACAGTATCTGTGGTTAGTTGAATCAGGTCCACTGCTCTAACCATGGCTATCTGTCTGAATACTGTATCTATGGTTAGTTGAATCAGGTCCACTGCTCTAACCATGGCTATCTGTCTGAATACAGTATCTGTGGTTAGTTGAATCAGGTCCACTGCTCTAACCATGGCTATCTGTCTGAATACAGTATCTATGGTTAGTTGAATCAGGTCCACTGCTCTAACCATGGCTATCTGTCTGAATATAGTAATAATAACTATTATACCTGCCATGAGTGAGTATGATATTCAAATTGTCAAATACTGTCGACCTACCCTTATAACGATATTTGCGTCACACCAAGAAATATTGTTATAAGGGTAATATTGTTATAGGGGTAACTGTTTCATTTCATACACATACGTCATAATGCATGGATTTTGTTCATTTTTTACATTCTCCATAGAATAAAAACTGACATACATGCACATTATGTGCACAGCAAGGTGCCCACTGGTGCCCCTTTGCATTTCGTCATGTCCCAGTGACTTATCAAGTGAAGCTTGCCCTACCTGGATAGTAGGTCCTACATACTCCCTGCTAAATATTGTTATAAAATGGAAAATGTTGATTGGTCAGTCCATTTTATATCGTTATAGGGGTAATATCGTTATAGCAATATTGTTATAGAAGTAAGGCATTGTATACACAAGTCAATGGAGTGATTTGGTTTGGCAGAAAAATATCGTTATAAGAGTAATATCGTTATAGAGGTTATCGTTATAAGGGTAGGTCGACTGTACTAGGACTTGATAATCATTGCCTCTACTTTCTCGCTCCACATATACTGGCACACACAGAGACATAGACAGCAATAGCGACACTACAGAAAGTGAAGGGTAGTTTGCTGCAGCCAGATGTGACTGATAAGGGTAGTTGGCCACAGCCGGATGTGAACCGGATAACGAGTGAAGTATGGAAGCAAGGACTGAGAACAGAGTGTCTCACATAGAATAGGCATGCCAGTGATAGCGGAAATCGGCCATGATGCAGAACCACTTGGGACCGTCAGATTAATTTTCTGTACCGAGCCAGCCAGGAAAAAACCCTCGCGCCGACAGACGCAGTTGTGAGGGAAGAAATCGGGTGTATATCCCCAATGGCGATTAGGCATCATGTAGACATTGCAAGCACATCACGGCAAAATATGATAAAAAAGCAATGATAATATGCACAGAAATGAAGGGTGGGAGGGCAGGGACACTCGTGAGACTCAAAACTCACTGAAGAAGTCAGGAAAAGAAGCGACAATGAAGAACACACCAGATGTCATATTTCGAACTGAAAATATTTGCGAGAAATCATTTCTCGCCTATCTCGCTGCGCTCGGCCGGTGAGAAAAACAACATATATTCTACTCTCTATTCCACTCTCTATTCTACTCTCTATTCCACTCTCTATTCTACTTTCTATTCTACTCTCCATTCTACTCTCTATTCCACTCTCTATTCCACTCTCTATTCTACTCTCTATTCCACTCTCTATTCCACTCTCTATTCCACTCTCCATTCTACTCTCTATTCTACTCTCTATTCTACTCTCTATTCCACTAGCTATTCCACTCTCTATTCTACTCTCTATTCCACTCTCTATTGTACTTTCTATTCCACTCTCTATTCTACTCTCTATTCCACTCTCTATTCCACTCTCTATTCTACTCTCTATTCCACTCTCTATTCCACTCTCTATTCTACTCTCTATTCCACTCTCTATTCTACTCTCTATTTCACTCTCTATTCCACTCTCTATTCTACTCTCTATTCTACTCTCTATTCCACTGTCCATTCCACTCTCTATTCTACTCTCTATTCTACTCTCTATTCCACTGTCTATTCCACTCTCTATTCTACTCTCTTTTATAGTCTCTATTCTGCTCTCTAAGTAGTATATGTCGGGCGGGTTCTGTGGCGGGTACATGCCCTGCTCGAAAAATGGGGTAATATTGATAGTACCCCATTTTGGGGGTAAAAAGCGGGCACCCAGTTTTTTGCGTAAAAATGATTTTTCGGGTGTTGGAGGTGGTTGAGGAGGTATGACATCATGATTGTACCCCAATGGTTGTATCTGATCATTGCCCCGAATGGGAGTGGGTATAAAAAGTAGATAGAATGCTGGATGGCGGTTCACCACTCATCCCCTTTTTTTCTAAACATTTACACTGATGTATATACCGTAAAGTAAAGTTGATCCGCCCCCCCCCCCCCCCCACGCCAAGTCGCTTCCCAGCTTGTTTTTCATGGGGGGGGGGGGGGGAATTCGATCAAGACTGTTTGGTGCAGTGTCGTTGTACGACAATGCGGTGTTGTATCTTTCAGACGCAAACAGGTGAGAAAGGTCAAACTCGACGTACACATTCACACAGACTCTCACCCGAATGTTTGTTTGCGCACTAGAAAGTAGTATGAGGTTGGCTGTATGCATATGGACATGAGTACAGAAAGACGCATAATTTCTCTACCGTGTAACTCTGAAGTCGCTTCAGAGACAGAAAATCGAGGGGGGGGGAGGCGGGAATTAGAGTGGGGGCGGGAATTAGAGTGGGGGCGGATCAACGGTACTTTACGGTACATTGTTTATTTTTTAATTTTAATTTTATTTTTTAATTTTATTTTTTTCTGGTCCCATCGGCCTCTTCATATTTGTGCAGCTGCACTGTTGAGCTTCGGATGTAAAACAAAAAATCATAATAATAATCATAATAATATGGGGCCGTTGGGAGGGCCCGAATATGCATGCGCATATATTCGCATATTTTGGTCCTTTTGACACAAGGTCGCATAAAGTAGCAAATCTAGCATATTGTACCAAATGTAGCATACTTTGCTGCAAGGAGCAAAGAATTCATGTAATTATAGGGCAGAATTGCGGAAATGGACATGGAAACTTACTACGGCACGCTCGGTCAGGGAACACTTCCAAACTTAGCCCGGAAGGAAAAATGCTCATCCAAACACGGGGCGAAAATTTAACCCGAGAAGAGAGTCACCGCGACTCAAGGTTGCATAAAGTAGCAAATCTAACATATTGCACCAAATGTAGAAAATTTTGCTACAAGGAGCAAAGAATTCGCATAGTTATTAGGGCCGAAACGAGCATAAAATTTGAGTATTGGAAAGTTCTTGATGTTAACGAACGAACGAACGAACATTCTCTAACATTCTCGTCGCACGCGCGTGCTCACGCACGAACCGGCATAGGCAAGAAAAATAGTGGAATTTTTGAATACAGTATAGCAATAAACTTTTGTGGCGCACAAATTTTGCGTTTTCATGAATGCGGCTAGTTTGTGATATGAA